ACTTATATAGACTCCCTCATCCCCCAACTTTTAGACTCAGTCCCTCCTGGGAGTGTAAGGAATGATATTCCTCAGTGTTGCAACACACTCTTTGTCTAACTTGTCATAGAAAAACCGCTTGGGGACGCCTTCGAAAACCTCGATCCTCTTGACAACAAAAGGGCCCGTAAATTTTGTGTTCTGGGCAGACAGGCCAACCCTCACAAGGATCTGCTCCCCGACCTTGATGCGCGGATGTTTCTGGCTATGCCTCTTATCGAAGTGCTTCTTCTGTTGTGCCTTCTTGACTTCCTCCCCTTCCTCATCTCGAGATTCAGTCAACTTGATTCTTCCCTCTATGCCAAGTATTCCATCAGCCTGCAGCACCGGAACTTCACCCTTGAGAGCGAAATGTGGGCTGCAGCCTAAACTACTGCAGAAGGAGCGATTGTGATGTTTGATCGCAGCCTCCGCACAACACTTCCACCCTCCTTGAAAATCAGGATACATGCTCATATACATTTTGACATCCCGGATCAATCGTTCGGCCAAACCATTCGATTCCGGGTGATACGGACTACCTGGCTTGATCTCGATATTTCTCTGCTTCGCCCAGTCAAGTAACTCCCTACTCTCGAAGACTTTCGCTCTGTCCGAGACTACTTGCCTGACACCTCCGAAGCCTTTCTGTGACAAAAACCGAATAACTTCTCCGGCATTACCCTTACAAATCTTCGCGAAAGCGTAACGGGTATTGCGGTCAATGCCCACGAGAAATGACTTGGTGGCAGCAACTCCCTCTTTTTTCTTCTCTATCTCCGCAAAGTCCAGGTGGATTGTGTGCATCGGTGCCACTTTGGGTACGATCAACATTTCATCTGGTTTCGGGCGAAACTTCGCCTTATTACGTTGGCAAGTATCACACGATTTCACATACATCTCAATCTCTTTTCTCATGGACGGCCACGTGAAACGTTTGGCAATCTTTAAGTACGTCCTCCAAATCCCATCATGACCCCCAGAGTGAGGTGAATCGTGGTAGAGCTTCAGAATTTTTTTCTTTTCACTATTTGCCACAGACACTCGTTCCCCCCTTTGATGCAGCAGCATGACATCTTCAGCCCCAACCTGATCGTTTCGGAGCCTCGATAATGCGTCAGCATGCTGGATCTTTTGACCAGGAGCATGAACTACCTCGGAATCCAGTTCAGTGAGTCTGCTCAACCAACGTGCGATCCGACCCTTCGGCTCTTTCGTACACAGAATCTCCTTCAGAGCACTGTAGTGAGTTTTCAAAGTAAACTTTTGCTCATCGAGAAACGAGCGAAAGTACTCGACAGATTTCAGTACTGCAAGAGCCTCCTTTTCCGACGTGGTATAGTTTCGCTCCGCCGATGATAGCGTGTACGAGTGAAATCCCACCACATGCTCCTTTCCATCATCGAGTACTTGCGAGAGAACAGCACCAGTCCCCACATCTGAAGCATCGGTGGTCAGAATGAATTGCTTCCGAAAGTCTGGTAGGGAGAGGACAGGATTACTCGTGATGAGAACCTCCAATTTCTCGAAGATATCCTGATGAGCTTGCTCCCAGGTGTATGGAACACCCTGAGCCGTTAGCTCCGTCAGCGGCTTTACAATCTTCGCGTAATCTTTGATGAAGGCGCGGAAGTGACCGCATAAACCCAGGAAAATTCGTAATTGATGGACGTCTTCTGGTTTCGCTATGCTCCGCACTCTCTCGACAGATTCCTCTTTTGTGTTCTTCGTGCAACCATCAAGTTTCCGTCCCAAGAAGACGACTTCGGAGCGGAAAAGCTCAGACTTCTTGACATTGATTTTCAATGAAGCCTCTTCTAAGGAACGTAGAACTCTTTTCAGTTGGAGTTGGTGTTCGGACATATTCTTCGAGAAGACAATTATGTCGTCGACGTATGCCCTAGCATACGCTCGATGTGGCGCATCACTGAGTCCATCATTTTCTGGAAAAACTTCGGGGCGTTTTTCCAACCAAAGGGGTTGACATTATACTCGAACGTGCCAAATGGCGTGACGAAAGCCGAGAAATGCTTTGTTTCTTCCGTGAGAGGTTGTTGCCAATAGCCTTTCAAAAGGTCTATTGTCGAGAACACCTTGCAGCCTCCGGTTTCCGCTATTATTTCATCGATACGAGGGAGTGGCCAACTCAGCATGTCCGTTTTTTCGTCACCAAGCGATAGTCTGTGACGAAGCGCCAGGAACCGTCCGCTTTGGGTACCATTGTGCATGGACTCCCGAAACTAGAAGTTGACTCTCGAACGACATTATGCTTGATCATTTCCCGCAGCTCTTTTTCCATTGATTCTTGTTTTTGCGCGAGATAAGACGTAGGTTTTTCGACAGATTGGTGAAATATCCTTCAATATGAATGGAACCGAGAATTTTCGGACAGGCTCTGGATAAGGAGTTGCGGATATTATCCCCGGGAAATGCCGTTTGACGTCATCCATGTCACGAATTTGGAATGAATCGAACCCGAGCTTGATGTGAACGTTTGCTCTCATGGGGATCTTTTTGTCAAAGGATTGTCCGAATGAAATTGTATCATCATAGTGTAGATTCAACTTGAAATCCTTCATGGCCCTTCTCGAGAGAAGCATGTCGTATTTTGCACCGTCCACAACGAGGAAACGAATGGTTCTTGCCTCTGAATCGATGCGGACTAAGATTTCGCACCATTCGTCATAGGCGCGAGGATTGCCGCAATAATCTTCAACTGTTATTCGACGACCTTTCTGAACCCTGTTTTTCTCCACTATTTTCCGATTTACAATAGACACTGATGCACCGGAGTCTAGAACAGCGCGCACCAATTTTTCCTTGTCGGTGGCTACTATTAGAGTTGGGAGCGATGTGCTGCTCAAGAGAATCGTCTCATTTGGCGACTTCGGGGTTGGGACGGAACCCCTCTTTATTAGTTTAAAGAATCGTGTTCTTCGGCGTCGCTTTCGCTCTCATTCTCGGCTACATGGTTCACATGAGCTTTCTTTTCTTCTGTTTTGTCATTGGTTCTCTTCTTGGGTCTCACTGATATGACATCTACATTGGTCATGAGTAGAGCTGCGAAGTTCAGGCATTTTGCCATGAATGCCTTTTTCTGCCTTTTCCGGCTATTTTCCAGCCATTTTGCCTTTTCCGTCATATTAGTGCCATAAATGCCTGAAAGGCCCCTTCCGACAGACAGGTTTATGATTTTTAATGGAGAATTCGATCGAAAGGAGAAGCATGTCGTGTCAAGCATCGAATTCCTATCCTGGGAGAGCGCCAGGATTCGATTCCATAGAACAGCGTGGATTCAGCGCGCGTCTGCCTCATGCGTGTTGTGGGTCGACGTGCCGAGGAACGTGTCAATGCACGCTCCCTCCGCTTTTGTGGTGTTCCAAATTTCGAACGATTCCTTGTGTTAAGTGATCTACGCACCGGACGAGCGAAACATTCCGAAAATGCCCAAACAAGCCGTGACTTTGAAGACGAAGCTGCAGAATTACGTTAAACTTTTCGGATGCGAAGTTTTCGTCACGGACGGCGTCGTCCTCACCTACAAGCTCTGTGAGAAGGCCGTGAATACGGACAAAAAATACTACGTCGCACAGCATGTCAATAGCTCCGGGCACAAGCAGCGCGCGGCTCGTGAGAAGACGTCAACTTCTGAGCAGGTTTCGTTACTGACTAACTACGTTGAGAGATCGGACAGAGCCAACGAGTTCAGCGCGGATCTGTGTCGCGCGTTCGTCGAAGCGAACATCCCGTTGTACGAGGTGATGCACCCGTCCATGCGGAGCTTCTTGGAGAAATACACGAAAAGAACTACGCCGCACCATTCTACGCTGCGGAAGACGTATTTGCCGAAACTGTACGACCAGACTGTCGCAAAGATTAGGGAGTCGGTAGGCGATTCGAACATCTGGGTTTCGATGGACGAGACTACCGACGTCAAAGGCCAGTTCGTTGTAAACACCATCGTTGGTGTTCTGGACAGCTCTAAGGCTTCGACTGCTTTCCTGCTTGACTCACAAGTTGTTGAGAAGACTAACCACGCCACGATTGCACAAGCATTTTGCAGTGCGTTGAGCCTTCTGTGGCCAGATAAAGTGAACCATGAGAGAGTATTGTTGTTCGTCTCAGATGCTGCGAAGTACATGAAGAAAGCCGCGGCCGGTTTGCAAATTTTGTTCCCAAAAATGATCTACGTAACCTGTTTGGCACACGGTGTTCACAGAGTCTGCGAACAGATCCGCGAGCAGTTCCCGATGGTCGATTCATTCGTTGCGAACGCGAAAAAAGTTTTTTTGAAATCTACCACGAGGATACAAAAATTCAGGGAACTTGCTCCTGGACTGGCGCTCCCACCGAGACCCATTGTGACCCGGTGGGGGACGTGGTTGGAAGCTGCTTGCTATTATGCGGCGAACTTCGAGAAAATCAAGGAGGTTATCGGAAGTTTTCATCCCGAGGATGCTGTGTCGATCGAAAAGTGTCGAAAACTGCTCGTCGATTCCAACCTGAAGTCTCAACTATTGTACATAGCCACGCATTTCAAGGGAATTCCTAACGCCATCAAGAAACTCGAATGTACTACTCAACCTGTCGAAACAACGTTGTCAGTTTTGGGCGAGATCGCGTCTATGGTCAACGCGGCGGTAGGAGCAAA